GCCGCTCACGCTGGCTGCTGGCCGCTCACGCTGGCTGCTGGCTACACACGGTAGCCCATGGTAACCCACTGCAGCAGGGGCTGCAGCCTAGGCCGTTGCTGGCAACTCATGGCAGCCCAGCTCCGGGTTGAGCTGTTGTTCAGCATCTTAGCTGTGGAGGGCAGCATCACTGGCCCTCATATGCGGGATCCAAACCGGAGCCCTCTGGCGTCCCAAGCCAGTTCTTAACCAACACGCCACTCGGCCGGCCCTCTTTAAGAGCCTTCATTCTGGCCTCAGAAATGGCCAAACTCATCAGTTCCCTACTGCCAACTTCTATTCTATACCAAGCTCACAGTGTCTCTTTCCTCCTACTACATACCTGGAAAGATTTTTTTAAAAAGAGAGAGAGCCATGGACTGTGATAGAAACGGACAGTAGGCTGAGAGACAGAGACCTCAGAATCAGGCACAGGTAAGCCTCAGTTTGCTCGTCCTTTTAGTGTTGTGTCAGGATTAAATGAGCAACTAATCCAGGCAAAGTGCTCAGACCGCACCAGGCACACAGTACAAGTGCTCAATAAATATTTACCAAAGAGTGAAGAGCCATTCTTCTAGGCACGGGACAGCCCTAGCTGCATAATGGGTGCTTAACCTAGAATTTGGTGAATGGATGAATGAATAACGCCAAAATAAGATATATTCAGAACTCTTCAGTGCAGACTTCCTGGGCTCTACCCTCCCCTCAAGAAACCTCCCAAAATTAATTCTTCCACTCAAAGCAGAGTTTCTCAAAGTGGTGCCCACGAACTCTGCATTAAGATCACTTGGGCACTTGTTTCAAACGCAGATCCCCGAACCCTTCTCCCAGGACTGCTGAATTGGCCTCTAGGAGGGTGGGAACTGGGAGTCAGAACATTCGACAAGTTCCCCAAACGGTTTTTGTGAGGACTAAAGTCGGTGCGTCCCATTGCTGGAGTGGGTGGATGCGGATGCAAAGGGGATCCAGGCCCAGCAATTCCAAGCCCCCATCTTTCTCTCTCTGACCGCCCCCCACATACACACCTCAACACCGTCACCCCCACCCTGGACGAAGAACAAGAGGCGGCGTGTCAGCTGAGCCCTGCAGTAAAGTCATTCAGCGGCCAAGTCCATGGGGCGGGGACCCCGGGGCTGCCCTGCTGGGGCGGGGCTGGACGGGGCGGGGTCGCGGCTCCTCCCCCGCCAGGGCGGCTGGGCGGGGCGGGACCGGCCGGAGGGGCTGCGCGCCGAGGCGGTGGTACAGCCTGGAGCACCCCGCAGCTGCGGGCCGGGGACCCTGGACCCCTCCCCACGCCAAGGTAAAGGGCCGCGCAGCCCGCTACCAACTTAGTCAAGTTGGAGTGGAGTTCGCCAGGCGCCTGCATGGGGGGGTTCTGCGACGCAGGCAGGGGCGAGGGGGGCCTTGAACCAGCATCCCAGGGATAAGTGTCCTCCCACCTGGGGCCCAGAGGGTTGAGTAGCCCCGAATAAGGAACCCACCCAGATCAGGGCACTCACACCCAGGACCCAGGCTGAGTAAATTCCTACTCAGGCTCCGGGAATGGCTTATGTGCTCCCGGGCCCTGTGGGTCCCCTCCCCTCCTCCTCCGCAACCCCCGCCCCGTCCTGTCACCATCCGGGGGCCCGGCTGCCTCGAAGCCCCCGCCCCCCAAGAGCCGCTGGAGGCCGTCGCGCCAGCGGCTCCTGAATTTTTCACGTAGGGGGCGGGCCGGACACGCCGTTCCCATGGCACCAGGGCGCTCGGGTTACCGCGGAGGGAACCCCCAGACCACCCCCACCCTTACCCTTTGAAGTATCAACGCACCCAGTCCTGCATCTTCCTCATCCCTCTTGAAATGGGGCAGCGGAAGTGAACCCCCCCAGGGGCCCTCAACTCTCCTCAGTACCCCCCAAACCCCCATCCGTGGGGAAGGGGAGGACAGGGCAATTCAGGTGCCTTTCAGAATGTGGGTCTCGTGTTCTGAATGGGAGGCGCAGGTCTGTGTACACAAGTGCGTGTGCTTGTGTGGACATCCCACCTCCCTGCTGCCCCTCTGCCTGTCCGTGTGTCATGGGGGAGTGGGTCATCCGTAAGGCACCGGAAACAGCCTCTGGGTGTGCATGTGTATGTGTGTTCAAAGCTTGCACACTCACCCCTCCTAGCCTGACCCAGGCATACCCTGGGCCTGAAGCCAGAAAGCCCCTACCCCAAGGAGCTGAGGCGCCTCCTCTTCCTCCTGTTTGAACAAGAGGGGTCTCTGGAGGAAGCTATTTCAGCAGCTTATCAGGAGCCTACAGAAGGGTCTCAAAGCACCTGGCTCACTGCCCATTGCCCCTTCTTGCTCACAGAAAGAAGGAAGGAAGGAAGGAGCCAAGCCTCCCCCACGAGGATGACACTGAACACCCAGCAAGAAGCAAAGACCTCCCTGCGACGGCGAGCCAGCACCCCACTGCCCCTGTCCCCCCGGGGCCACCAGCCTGGCCTGCGCACAGTGCCCTCCACTTCCACGCAATCCCAGCATCCCCGGCTGGGCCAGTCAGCCTCCCTCAACCCTCCCACCCGGCAACCTTCACCCGCCCCCAACGGTTGGTCCTCTGAATCCAGCGACTCTGAAGGCTCCTGGGAGGCCCTCTACCGTGTGGTGCTGCTCGGAGATCCTGGTGTAGGGAAGACCAGCCTGGCCAGCCTCTTTGCAGGGAAGCAGGAGCGGGACCTCCACGAACAGCTGGGAGGTAGGGACCCTCTGGGCGGGGCTGGGATGTGGCCAAAGGAGTGAAAAACCCTGTCATCAGAGGCACAAGGCTGCCAAGAACAGTTGTACAATTTTTACTCTAAGGGGTAAAACTCTAAGGGGTATCATTCACATATGCGCCTCCCCCGCTTTAAAGTTGTGCAGGCCTGCACAACAGTCTACTGGAGAGAAATCCCTTGATTAGTGAGAATTTTGCCCGTTTCGCATGGATAAGTTTAGGATTCTGTCTCAAGTATAAAGAAATGGTGGACTTCCACCCAGCTCAGAAACCCCCGGCCCCACCTTTCCCCCTGACTCTTGGGTCATCCCAGTTCCATCGACAACCATCCGTGGCTACAAGACCTACAGCAAAGCTAAGATCCTGCCCAAAATGGGGACTCCCAGACTCTAAGTTCTGGGCCCTGGGTTCCTTTATTCCCAAGAGATGATGGAGCTGAGCGGGTCAGGGGCCCCAGGAAGATGGGGCACTAGGACAAGACAGAGGAAATGAAGGTGGGTCCCTGCAGGACTGGCTGAGAGGACACAGGGCGAGGGGGGAGGAGGGTTGGTTAAAAGCAAAGAGAAGGTGGGGACACTCTGGCCAGGCCCTTTCTCCAAGCTGGACCCCTCTAAGTGTGAGAACCCGTATGAGAGGTGTACAAAGGTCTAGGGGTGACAGATGGGGAGGCTGAGGCCCAGAGGGGGTAATGTGACCTGCCTGAAGCATGTAAGCCAGAAACAGCAGGAACAGCAGGAATGAACACCACATTCATTCAATCAACCAAATAAACAAAAGCTTTCTCAGCACCTACTATGCGCCAGGTACTGTGCTGGCAGCTGAGGAGTCATGGGCTCCTCGTGGAGCTTTTTGACCTATCAGGAGAGACGGACAACAAAAAAGTGTGGTGAGCACTTCAAGGAGAAGTGGAGGAGGTGCTGTGACCATAAGGGGGTCTGGGGAGGTCCACACCCTCCAGGCCTGCCCCTTCTCCCTCACATCCAGCTCTTCCCTCGGTTGCAGAAGATGTGTACGAGAGGACCCTCACCGTGGACGGAGAGGACACCACACTGGTGGTCATGGACACCTGGGAGGCTGAGAAACTGGTATGGCATAGCAAGCAGAATTTGGGGGCGGGGGAGGGTTTATGAGCCTAGTACCAGATTCCTGTTCCCCCCTAGGACACCACAGAGCAGGGACAGGACAGGAGCCATCCTCAGCACCTCCCAAAACCCATGGTTCCTAAGCAGCCTTTCCAACCAATGACAGAAGAACCTCATGACTCTTACCCCCTTTACTCACTCCACTGGTCCCCTCTTCACAGCCAGGGAGATGTGTTTCTCCCCTTGCAAGTCTCCCCCTCTTTTAGCACCTTTACCCCACTCCACCCACCCATATTGTGCAGAGGAAGGAACACTGAATTTAGCATCAAAATGCCTGAGGATGAACCCCCACCCCACCCCCACTTTCTTTTTCTTACCAGTTGTGTGGCTTTGTGCAATTGACTCACCCACTCTGAGCTTCAGTTCTCTCACCTGATAAATGGGTCGATCATTCCTGCTTTTCTTACCAGCTGGGTTTTTGGTTTGTTTGATTTTTTTAAGTTCTTATGCAGTTTCACAGAGGTGAGCACAGTTTGGAGTATGACAAATTGCTGAACATGGGTGAAAAGTTTTCAATAATGATAATTATTATTAATCATAATTTGGTAGCTAGTAGAAAAAGGAAACCAAAGGGTGTCCTTCCCCAGCCCCTTCCAGAGCAGGAAGAGAGAAGCAGGCAGGGACATGTTCCTATTACGTTTTTCTTATTTTGGATGAGTTTTCTTTTTTCTTGCTATACGGGTAATACATGTTCACTATAGAATTCTGAAGAAATACAATTGTGAAGGCAGTTCCCAAAGAGGGTCTGCACAGTAGCAGCCTTGTTGAAATCCTTCCCATCCTTGGGCTAGATGGTTAAATGTCAGAGAGGCAGAATCTGACAGAATTGGTGGACCTCTGGCTCATCCATTAGTGCCTTAGCTTGGCTGACCATCAGGGTCACCTGGAGAGAGTACAAGAAATCAAATTCTCAGGCCTTAGCCCAGACCTAATAAATAAGAACCTATACAAGTAGGATTCTGGAATCTTTATTTTTAATCACACTCCCAAGAGGTTCTTACCCACCAATCCATGCACCAGCTTTTGTGATCCTAACACACAATAAATCCTCCATAAATACCGGGGTGCCAAAGAAAACGTATACAAGTGGACACTTTGATCAACGTTGCTCAAGCAGTAGTTCGCTGTAATCAAAAGTGTCTGGATGCTGATGGGAACCACTTTGAGAACCTCTTGTAATTGCAGAAGTCAAACGTGACTTGTATTCATCTTTTGAGTATTGACTATTACAAATTTAATACAGTTTTCCTTTCTTAAAATGTGTGTACATTTTTGGGGCACCCTCTGTATTTCTGCAGTGGAAGAATGAATGGTCAAGACCCACCTTCTCATTCTGCAGATGGGAAAACTGAGACCCAGAGAAAGGAAAGATCGTGTCCATAGTCAAGGTTAAGAACCCACATCTGTCTGACTCAGCCCACAGTTATTTGGCCTGGGGAAGGATCAATATGGCTATTGAGCACTTACCCCCTTTGACAATGATATTGACTATGGATCTGATGCTTTCTTATTCATCTATCTTATTTGATTACCAGGAAATTTTTCTGGCTCCTTTCCCCCTCACAAACAATGCCTCCACCACATTCAGTATTTCCCACTCCTGACCCTCTCTCTTCTCCCCTGCTTAGCCTATTCATCCTTTCAACCCCCACTCACAGGCCCACTGTGAAGCCCTCCCACAGTCTGCCAGATTGAATTCTTCTGGCCTTCTTCCCCCACCCCCATGGCTTCTCCAGCCACTTGCTTATGGGTACTTGTCACACTGGATTGTAACTCTCCACTTCCGTAGCCTCCCTTCCAGACCGTGAGCTTTTGGAAGGTCAGGAACTGTGTCTTATTAAACACTTATAAAGTTGTTATCCAGCTGGTCCAGTCTCAGAGTGCTGTTCCTGACAACAGATCACCATCCAAAACTATCAAAATCACTCCAGTTCTTTCCTTGCCTTGATCAAACAACTTGCAAGGACTCCACTTCCTAAAATGGCCCGTGCCTCTCCCACCCCCTTCCCTTACACTCCACAGTTGCTCCTTCATCTCGCTCTCTCTTCAAAACTATCCTGAAAAATGCCTTCCCTTGACGTCAGCCTCCATCTTCACGTCTCTCCCTTCCTTTTTTCTCTTTTGAGAAGACTGCAGAACTGTCTGGAATGACTGAACCATCCTCAGAAACCAGACAAAAGACTTAAATAGGCAAAGCCAGGATAGCTGAACAGCAAACCCTCCTTAGCAGGAAGAGGAACCAAATAATTTTTTTGTCTCCAGCCTACAGAACAAACCAACGAATGAGAGAATGTAGTGAAGTAGTGTCATTAACCCATTTTTTCAAACAGAGAAACTAAAGGTCAGAGAAGATCGGTGGTTTTCCTAAGGTGAACAGGGAATTATGGGAGAATTTGTCCCTCAAACCTGTCCAAAGTATAAACCTCAGCCCCATCACACCCATTAGACCATCCCAGTCCCTTTCTCAGCCAGGACCTACGCGTTCTCTCAGGATGGGCCTGGGGTCCCTCCTCTACAGGATGAAAGCTGGAGCCAGGAATCATGCCTGCAGGTAGGCAGCGCCTACGTCATCGTGTACTCCATCGCAGACAGAGGCAGCTTCGAAAGCGCCTCTGAGCTCCGCATTCAGCTGCGGCGCACACATCAGGCAGACCACGTGCCCATCATCCTGGTCGGCAACAAGGCGGACCTAGCACGCTGCCGAGAAGTCTCCGTGGAAGGTGAGCCTTCCACTCCACCCTCCTCCATAGTCTTCTCAGCCCCGCTGTCACTGCTTGTCTTCCAGTGCTCTTCATCTCAGTGGCTGTCTGCCCCCATGCCCACCCCATTCTGCATCTACTTGCCAAAGCCTAAAAGCTAGGAACCATTTCTGCCTCCTCTCACTCCCCCAACCCAGTCTCCAAATCCTGTCAGGCCCACCTCCCTTAACCCCACATTCCCTTCCCCCCGTTCCCACAGCCTCTGCCCTATCCCGCCATCTCCACTTTAGCCTGGACCAGCCCTCACTCATACTTCTCTATCCCCACTCAGTCGGTTCTCCTTGCCAGCTGCCAGAGTTTCCCTGAACCAGACCTGACCTTGTCACTTTTTTGCTTAAAAATTCCCCTTTGGCACCCCCATGCCCTTTAATCAGAGATATTTTATCCACCAAGCATGATAGGCCTAGTCCTACAGGCTTTTCAAGGACTTAACATCTGAGACCTGAAAAAGACAATTATTGGCTCCAAAACAAAGTGAGACATTTATTAATTCAAATTTCAGAAAGCTTAATTGTCTGCAAAACATGATATTGTGTCAGTCAGCAAATGCAAACCAAAATGTTTAAAGTTAAATATAAATTGTATTTAAAGTGGGATGGGGACTATTTTAATACGTTTGATATAGCAGGTGGGACTCATGAAGATCTTAAAATGGCTCTCCTTACAGGGAACAATGTAAAAATTATGGAATCTGAGACCCAGAAAGGGGAAGCCAGTTCCACAGGGTCACCAGCCACTGAGGACTAGAATCCAGGCCCCTGCCTCCCAGCCCAGTGGAATCCTGGAGATGGGAAGACCACATGCTTTGTGAACAGACATCCAAAATTCCGCAATATAATTGCAGGAGATTTTGTTAAAATGCAGGTTTTCAGACCACATTCTCAAGCCTACCGAATCAGAATCTCTGTGGGTGGTCCCAGGAATCTGCATTTTTAACAAGCTCCCCAGATAATTCTGATGCGCAGATTAGACACCGTACCTGGCATTCAAGAACCTTCCCTACCCGGTCCCAACCTCTCTGTCTTCCCAGCCTCATTCTTCCACCAGTATCAGTCACTAGCCTGTGAGCTAACTCCTTAAAGCCAGATCTGATTTGTCTTCGAATCCTCTGGCACCCAGCACAAGGTATGGGTGAAAAGAATTGCTTCTGGTTGAAATTGAACACACCCCTTCCTACCTTTCTCTCCTCTTCCACCCTGCCCACCTGACCCCGCTCCTTCAGAGGGCCGCGCCTGCGCTGTGGTGTTCGACTGTAAGTTCATCGAGACGTCCGCCACGCTGCAGCACAACGTGGCCGAGCTCTTCGAGGGCGTGGTGCGCCAGCTGCGCTTGCGTCGCCCGGACAGCGCAGTCCGGGAGCCACCTGCCCCTGCCCGACGGCGGGCGAGTTTTGGCCAACGCGCTCGTCGCTTCCTGGCACGCCTGACAGCCCGCAGCGCCCGCCGCCAGGCACTCAAGGCCCGCTCCAAGTCCTGTCACAACCTGGCCGTGCTCTGAGGCCCTCTGCCCTCCCAGGGGTGGCAAGACACTGGGGTGCACTCTGAGCTCCACCGACGCCACCGAAGAGCAAAGGCGTAGTGACCTGGAGTGCTCATCGTAGGCCTTGCATGCCTGCTGCCCCGACTGCCAGAGCATCTGCTGGAGCCACAACTTCAGGGACCCCCCTCCATCCTAGGAAGCGATGGACAAACTGTGGGGCCACAGCCCAGGCTGGACACAAAGTAGGGTTTGTTTGTTTTTTAACGCGATGTGTGTCTATTTGTAAAAATTTTCCATGTCTCTGGGCTCTAGCCAACCCTCAAAAAAAACCCCACAATAAACCAGACCTGAAGGATGTTTCATCTAAATGACCAGATCTCTTCTTTGGGTCCATCCAGGTGTCTCCACCTCCCACTCGCCCATCTACACTGGCTGCAGACTGGGTTAACCTAATGAACTGTGACAGCATCAGTCAATAACGTCATTGGACCAGTTCTGTGTTCAGGCCCTTCTCCTCACCACTAGGCACAGCCCTTGCCTCCCGTCTTTGAGGGAGACACAGTGGAGCACAAACAACCACAGTTCAGTGTGATGACCTCCTCTTCACGCATTAGGCCAGTTTTTAGATGATAGTGCATAAAAAATTCTCTAGAAAGGATTCTCCACTCATCCTGGCAATAAAATAGCTGGTGTTAATGGGAACTGACTGTATACTAAGCTGTTGCAACTATTTAGTAATCTTCACAACTTTTATTTACTAATTAGAAAACTGAGGTACAAAACGGTGAAGGCTTGTGCTGAAGATCCTACAGCTGCTATAAGTGAAGTTGCCAGGATTTCAACCCAGGCTTGTCAGACTACTGTCTTACCCATAGTCCTCTTGGATAATAGGACAAAAAGCTACGGAGTCCCAGGGAAATGGACTTTCAAACACAATTTTGCTTACAGTTGAAGAGGGGCAGGGGGGGCATCGACTCCATGAAACTCAATCCATTATCCCCAGAACGGACCCCCAATTTAGTCTAACTCATTCATTTTCCCAAATGTGGAAACTGAAGCCCAGAGAGGGGAAGTGAGCACCCCCAAGGTTGCCCAGCCAGTGAGAGTGAGGACTAGACCCCAGGGCCCAGCCTCCTCCTATGCCTGTACGGGACGTAGAAGGTAGTGAGGCATCCAGCGTGGCTGCGGATGGGACTGGGTCTGGGCCTGGGCCTTGGGAGTCAGGTCAGGAGTTTCCAACCTAAGGGGGAAGGGTGTCACTAATCTGAACGGAGAATAAGACAAAGGGTTTGGACCATCGTGTCCCTGATGCCTGACACCACTGCCCCAAACAGCTGCCTGCCCTGATGCCTCAGTCCCCCACGTGGGCCCCATCCCTGCAGCCAGGAAAACGGTGCCAAAGAAGAGTGAAGCAGGGGCAGGCAAGCCATATCCTCCAGCTGCGAGACTTTCCACGCCCCTGTCTTGCCAGCCAGCACTGATGGCATTTATTTCTCCATCCCAATTCTTGCCTGGGGAAGGAAAGAGGAGGAGGGTCTTCCCCCACCCCAAGCTGTCCTCGGCCTGTGGTCGTGGGGGAGGGGCTAAAGTTGTGGAAAGTTGGCAGAGGCAGCCGGCAGCAGCCAAGAGAGTGGAAAAAATGATATCAAACCCGGAAAAATGCAGGCCGGATGGAGGGCCTGAGCCGGCCCTGGGAGGTGAGAAGGAGGGAGGACAGAAGGGAGGGGGCCCCACAGGCTGAGAAAGGAAGAGGGGCCAGGGACAGAGCACAGGAGCTATTTCTGAGAAAACTGAGGACTATCGTGTCATTCCTTTCTCCACCCAGAAATGGTTATCAAGGGCCTACTAAGTGCAGGGCACAGTGCCAGGCTCTGGGGAGATAGTAGGGAACAGAAGGAATGGGACGCTGCCAGTCTGGGTGGAAAGCAGACTGGAAAACAAGTGAATAAAATAATTACAAGATAAGAGGCTAAAAATCAGGGTGGTCATGGAAAGCCCTGAAAACAATCCAGTCCAATCCCCTCAACTCACAGATGGGGAAACTGAGGGCCAGAGAGAGAAAGGGCTTACCCGAGGCACCTCTGAGTGTGGAAGAATTTGTTGAGACCAAGACTGGGGGGTGGAAGGGGAGGAAGAAAAAAGAAACAGTGCAGGCCAGGGGCGGGGTGAAGCGTCTGCAGCCAGCACAGCAGGAAAGCACCATGGTTGAGGTCATGGGCCCTGAATCAGGGTCTGTGTTCAAACCCTGCTCCCCTCCACCTCTGTGTGCCTTAGTTTCCCCATCTGTAAAATAAGATTCATGGTAATTCCTGCCTCAAGGGTGATGTGAGGATTAAATGACTCACAATGTGTAAGGTCGTTAAAACAGTTCCTGCATCTAGGAAGATTCAGTAAATGTTGGTTCCTGCTATCATATCGTAAGACCCTGTGGAAACCAGGGTTTGTTAAGGATAAGATAGGCTGAGACTGTGAAGACTTTCTTGGAAGTCTTTGCCCTGCTATGACACTGGAGGACTTTAGGAGAATGTCTCCCCCTCTTGGGCCTCAGTTTCCCCACCTGTAAAATAAAAGGATTAAATCTGAACCTGTATATATTCATGTTTACTGTCTGCCTCCCCCACAGGAATGAAAGCCCCACAAGGGCAGGGCCCTCCATGCTGCCCTCTCCCCAGTACCTACAACAGTGCCTGGCTCATAATAAGTGATCGGTAAATATTTGTTGAATGCATTAATTAACCGATCTGTAAAATGGCCCTTGCAATCCTGACCTCTCTCAGATTCTAGGAGTCTGTAAATAAGGCATGCCTGGGAAAGCATGTGAGAAAACCACAATATTCCTCCCAGGGACACAGCCAATTATAGTTTAGAAAGTTGTTTCTCATCCATAAAAACAAACCAAAAAGAAAAAGCTAACTTTATTTTGGCTCATTCTGCATACTAGGCCCCATGCTACGTGCTTACTGCACATTTTCTCATCTCATCATAACCACAACCATCTTACTTAGTAGGTACTATTTTACAGATGAGTACATTGAGACTAAGAGGACCCAAGCAATTTGTCCAAGATGACACAGCAAGAAAAGGTAGCCAGAATTCACTCTCAGATCAGATAGGAACTGCTATCTTTATTGTACAATTGGGGAAACTGAGACCCTGAGAAAGAAGATGAATTGCCCAAGGTCATGTAATAATAACAGCAAACAGTTACATCAACCTTACTGTGTATCAAGTATTGTGCCAAGTGCTTTTTATATATTAAATCCTCAAAACTGGTCCTATTATCACCATGCTAGTTTTCAGATGGAGAAACTATAGCAGAGAAAGTTTCAATGCCCTGTTAAGATCACACAGTACATAACAGAGCCAAGATTCGAACCAGGAATTCTAGCCCCATGGTGTTTGTCTCTATTGCACTGTCTTGGTAGAGCAAGTCTGGAGGAGGCTGGCATAAAAAGGGAGGTGTCTTTGCCCAGCGCTGGGGCAGGGTGGAGAACAAAAGCACATTGAGAGAATCCTCAGCCGCCGGCTGGGACTTTCCACCTTGAAGGAAGAGTAGTGTTGTGGAAAAAATGATAAAGCTCTGGAAAGATTAATGTCTCCCTAGGGGCCCCAAGTCTCCTCAGAGTCCCCCCTCTCCTTGCTGGGAGGGACTGCTCCCTCTGCTGTGGGGGAGCGCCACAAACTGTGCCGACCCGATCCAGATGAGATGAAGGCCACCTGGACCCTGACACACCCCAGCCTGGGCTGCTCAAATACTGAGAATCCCTGGCCTTGATGGAAAGTTCCAATTTCTTAGCCAGGGACACAAAGCTCCCACTTAAGGACCCATAAGGAATCAGGTTCAGGCTGGGACTACCTGTCCTTAGATGGTAGGTAATTCATGTCTGTGAGGCAGTTCAATTCTTCCTTCATTCAGCAAACTTTGACAAAGGGTGTGTGCTCTGAAGGAAGGTAAGGAGGGTAGAGAGGGTCATAGTCAGCTGTTTATAAAAATTAAGAATCTCTCAGCTCTGCCATGACCGTATGACCTTCAGCAAATCAAAACACAGAGAGAAGAAGGGGTGAGGGTAGAACTCTCTACATGATGGTCTCTGTCTCCAGAATATTTGAATATTTTAGTTCAACAGCTTGAAAAAATATACAAGTTCAATTTCAATTTCAGCAGTGTTCCCTTCTGTTCAGTTCAGGGTTCAGTTAAAAATAATACTAATGATGGGATGGGAGCTCTGGGTTCAGCAGTGTGTGCAGTTTTCCCCAGTTCCATCTGGTTCAAGTTCAAAGCTAGAAGAGACCGCCGTTCCAGTTGCTGTGCTGCATAACAAACCACCCCAAAGCTTAGTGGCATAAAAACAATCATTTTATTATATTCATAGATTTTGTGAGTCAAGAATTTGGGCAGGGCCAAGCGGTTATACTTTCTCTCTGAGGCCTCTGCTGGGAAACTCAGAGACTGGAATCATCTCACACGTTGGGTGTCCTCACTCACATGTCTGGAGGTTGACACTGGCAGTAAGCTGGAGACTCAACTACACGTGGCCCCTCCAGGTGGCCTGGTGTATTTGTTTGCTATGGCTGTCATAAGAAACTACCACAAATACAGTGGCTTACAACAAATTTGGTGTCTTAGAGTTTTGTAGAATAGAAGTCTAACCGGGTCTTGCTGGGCTAAAATCAAAGTGTCAAGAAGGCTGCATTCCTTTCCGGAGGCTCTTGGGGAGAGAATCTGTTTCCGTGCCTTTCCCAGCTTCTAGAGGCTACCACATTCCTTGGTTCATGACCCCATCCTGCGTCTTCAAAGCCAACAACATCAGGCCAAGTCCATCTCATGCTGCCATCTCTCCGGATCTCCCTCTTCTGCCTCCTTCTTCCACCGTTGTGATTACGTTGAGCCCACCCAGATAATCCAGGATAACCTCCCTATTTTAAAGTCAGTGCGTTAGCAACCTTAATTCTATTTGGTACCTTAATCCCCCTTTGCCATGTCACAGAACATATTCACAGGTTCCAGGGATTAGGACATAGACATTTTGAGGAGTTGTTATTCTGCCTACAATGGAGGATAGAGGAAAGCAGTGGCTGGATCTTGGGGAGGGAAGGGGAGGGGA